CAGTTCTAGAGATAATCACTAACCAAACCGCCTCAGCCCTGGAAATGCTCACGCAACAACAAAGCAAATGTGCACGGCAATTATCAAAACAGGCCAGCACTAGACTACTCATTAGCAGAAGAGGGTGGGGTCTGTGGTAGGTTTAGTATCTCTAATTGCTGTCTTAACATAGATGATAACGGAAAAGGGGTTCTAGAAATCACTTCAAACATCAGAAAAGTAGCCCATGTACCAGTCCAAACCTGGAAGGGATGGGACTCAACAAACCTTCTAGGAGGGTGGTTCTCTAATTTAGGAGGATTTAAAATGCTGGTAAGGACAGTAATCTGACAGCTGACTCCATCTTGCTTCTAACCTGACAAGCTAACTCTTGGCTCATTCCTGGGCATAAGTCAAGCTAACTATGGGAGAAATTTAGCTTATAGTTTAATCTTAAAACAAGGAACATAATAACCCTTTCCCCAAACTCTCCCATGTAGTTCAGGAACCGAAGAAACCATCTTTGTAATACTAATGAAAGTACACAATATTAGAATTTTGGGAAGTGCCTAAATTCTGCTAATACCTATGCATAGTTCAATGATAACAAGTCATGGTTTACTACTCAGGAGTCACATAAGGGTAGTCACAAGATTTGTAACTTCCCTAATTGCTACTATAGATGACATTGGCATTGTAAAACCTAAGACTGGTGTTTGAGATATTTTTGAGACTTTGCATTTCCATTGGAACAACTGACACCCAGACCAGTGATCCCCACCCAGGAACTGACTCAGTGCACAAAGACAGCTTCAACACCCTATGGTTTCATCCCCAACCCAACCAATCAGTAGTCTCCATCCCCTAGCCCCATGCTTACCAAACTATCCTTAAAAAATCCTGTCTTAAGAATTCTCAGAGAGATGGATTTGAGAATGAACTCCTGTTCTTCCACTGGCCAGCCCTGCAATTATTAAACTCTTTCTTTGCTGCAAAAAGCTGCTGCTCTCAGTGCATTGGCTTTTGCGGACAATGGGCAAGATGAAACCGCTGGGCGATTACACCCACCCTACACAAAAAGACATTCTCTAAAAACTGTCACATCTATTATCTGTTCTTCCAAAGGACCATTTATCTTCTAAAAAATCATTTGTGGCCGGCATGGTGGCTCACACCTGTAATCCCAGCACTTTGGGAGGCTGAGGTGGGTGGATCACAAGGTCAGGAGATTGAGACCATCCTGGCTAACATGGTGAAACCCTGTCTCTATTAAAAATACAAAAAAATTAGCCGGGTGTGGTGGCGGGCACCTGTAGTTCCAGCTACTGGGGAGGCTGAGGCAGGAGAATGGCGTCAACCCAGGAGGCAGAGCTTGCAGTGAGCCGAGATCGCACCACTGCACTCTAGCCTGGGCGACAGAGCAAGACTCTGTCTCAAAAAAAAGGAAAAAAAAAATCATTCATATTTCCTTAAGTGCTCCTCTGCCCTGCCCCATCTCCTTAATGACATAGGATTCTTCTCAACCACGTTGCCAGCCAGCCAGAGGCCTCTGGTTGGTGATGCCCTACCCAGGACTTGCTGGAGCCCAGGCTAACCACAGGAGATGCCCCGTCTACTGGCTCGCTGGGCTGTGCCTGGCATGCCCTCTGGTGCAGATCCTGTGGCCACCGCAACCGTGCACTCAACCCCTGGCAGGAGGGGTATGTGAGCTAGTGAGTGTGGGGTTCTGCTGGTTGCTCCAAGCACCAGCACAGGAGCAGGCTCTGTGTGGGACTTGTGGCTAGACCAGGCATGTTGCAAGTGACTCCTATGGTGGACTCTGGCATCCAGATGAGGGGAATGTGATGGCACCCAAACGGGGATGCCCATGACTCCAAAGCCCCAGAGTGGGTGTTACAACATGTGAATAGCTTTCAGTCCTGCCTTCTGTAGCCCGAAATATGTCAACGTGTTAACAGCTCTGTCAGTCCTGTGGTCTCGCTCTGGCCTACAGCTCCAGGGCTGGCTTGGCCCAACAGCTGCTTCCCATGTTACAGCCTTCTTTGTACCCGCATTAGGTGGGTCCCAAGTTCTTGTCCTGCATTCAAGAAGAATGAGGTTACGCTGACAATCAAAAAGTGAGGAGGGCAGACAAGAGTTTTATTGAGGCACACAACAGCTCTCAGTGGAGAGGGGATTCAAGGGTGGTCCCCCACCAGAAGTTGGGTGGTCTCTCTCCCAATGTGGCTGGGTCCGGGGCTTTTATAGGCTCAGAATGGGGGAGTGTGTGCTGATTGGTTTGTGCATATGCAAAAAAGGCTAAAACAAAGGCACCACTCAAAGGTGGGCACAACTGCGTAAAAAACCAATTAGGGAAGGGCAGGTATATGTGAAATAGGTGATGTCTGGGGATCAATCAGAGGAAAGTGCACTAGGTGAAGTGTGTGGATCAATCAGAGGGAAGTGCACTAAATGGGAAGAGAGATTCTTAATCTGGTCCGTGGATTTATTGGAGACTTGTAGCTTGGCTTTCATGCTTTAAACTGTCTTTGGTTTGAAGGTGGGGTTTCACCAGGGACCCGCCCTTGTCTCCCTAGGATTTGTCTGCCTCCTGCCACTATCATTAAGATGGTATATAAAGTCTCAAATTTCACCACACTTTTGGATATTCGGTTCTTTCTATATGCCTCCATGCACATTAGATTAAAATTTAAAAACTTGGCCTGGCGCGGTGGCTCATGCCTATAATCCCAGCACTTTGGGAGGCCGAGGCGGGTGGATCACAAGGTCAGGAGATTGAGACCATCCTGACTAACACAGTGAAACCCCGTCTCTACTAAAAAATACAAAAAATTAGCCGGGTGCGGTGGCAGGTGCCTGTAGTCCAAGCTACTCGGCAGACTGAGGAAGGAGAATGGCGTGAACCTGGGAGGTGGGAGCTTGCAGTGAGCTGAGATGGTGCCAGTGCACTCCACCTGGGAGACAGAGCGAGACTCTGTCTCAAAAAAATAATAAAAAATAAAAAAACTTTTATGCCTTTTCTCCTGTTAATCTGTCTATTGTCAGATGAATTCACAGCACTCCCTGCCCAGCCACTGAATCTAAGAAGGTGGGGAAAAACTATTTCCTCATCTATGCTGGAAAGCATGAATGTAGATTCCTGCTTTTCTAATCTATGACTTGAATAGCTTCTGTGCAACATCCTGACTTCCCAGACAATTCACCTGTGCGTACCACTTCTGTGTAAAGACTACCTTTGTTTTGTTTTGTTTTTGAGACGGGGTCTCACTCTGTCACCCAGGCTGGAGTGCAGTGGCAGTGATCTTGACTCACTGCAAGCTCCGCCTCCCGGGTTCATGCCATTCTCCTGCCTCAGCCTCCAGAGTAGCTGGGACTACAGGTGCCCGCCACCATGCCCGGCTAATTTTTTGTATTTTTGGTAGAGATGGGGTTTCACTATGTTAGTCAGGATGGTCTCGATCTCCTGATCTCGTGATCCACCCACCTTGGCCTTCCAAAGTGCTGGGATTACAGGTGTGAGCCACTGCGCCTAGCCGGATTTTTTTTTGAATGTTTAAAAATGTTTCTATTTTGTGCCACCTTCCTTTAGTGAATAATAACCCAAGTTTTGTTATTATTAGTATATTGGTTTAGCTAGGTTTATCTTGATAAAATTTTACAAAAATATACTTTGAGGCTGGGCACTGTGACTCATGCCTGTAATTCCAGCACTTTGAGAGGCTGAAGCAGGCAGATCACTTGAGGTCAGGACTTTGAGACCAGCCTGGCCAACAGGGAGAAATCCTGTCTCTACTAAAAATATAAAAATTAGCCAGGTGTGATGGTGTGCACCTGTAATCCCAGCTTCTCGGAGCTGAGGCAGGAGAATAACTTGAACCGGGGAGGTAGAGGTTGCAGTGAGCTGAGATCATACCACTGCACTCCATCCTGGGGAACAGAGCGAGACTCTGTCTCAAAAAAAAAAAAAAAATGCTTTTCTTTATTCTTTGTTTCTTTGTCTATTTGACAAACAATGAAAGAAAATATTAAAGGCTGGACATCATTTGTGGTTTGTGTCCCATAGTTTGCATTCCAGATTTGACCTGGTGCCTAGAACCTGCATATACCTGACATTGCCACCCAGCACCCAACTCTACCACATCTGTATTGGTCCATTCTCGCACTGCTATGAAGAAATATCCAAGACTGGGTAATTTATAAAGAAAGAAGGTTTAACTGACTCACAGCTCTGCATGGCCTCAGGAAACTTACAATCATGGTGGAAGGCACCTCTTCAGAGGGGCGCAGGAGAATGTGTGCCAGCAGGGGAAAATGCCAATTATAAAACTATCAGATCTTGGAGACCCACTCATTATCACGAGAACAGCATGGGGAAAACCACCCCCCATGATTCAGTTATCTCCACCTGGTCTCACCCTTGACACGTGGGGATTATTACAATTCAAGGTGAGAGTTGGGTGGGGACATGGAGCCAAACAATATCAGCATCTGTCCTGATTTTCCAAATGCAAATGTCTTAGAGTCTCTAGCTGAGGAATATACGGTTCCTGACTTGCCCTTTCTCTGACCACCCCACAAAAACACCATATTGGAATCAGACTGAATCTGAATGCCGGAACTAGAATGCCCCCTCCTTTAGGGAAGTGAGCTCCATAACTCCTCTCCACATTCCTAACCTGGAAGGGTGATCCCTTCCCTCCAGAAGTGCTGATCCCAGCATTTTTGCTAAAATAGGAAGCTAGGGTAGAAAGGGAGAGAGAGGAATGGTGGGTGGGATATTTTGTTTTTTCAAAGACTCTGCACAGTATCTTCAATTAGATAAAGTGGCTGTAACTTTTCTTCTATTGACACTGCCCTCTTTCCTTTATTCTACTGCCTGCAAAAGAAGGCAATTGAAGAAGCCTCAAGTACCAGGGCAGGTTTTGGCTAGCTGAAGAAAGGGTAGGGTATAGGGAGGGAAGACTGGAGGTGACCATCTCGGGAGTGGGTGAGAAGTGAGAGCCCAAAATGGGTCTTCTTACCTCTGGTGCATTTTGTGCTCTTCTCTGGTCTGACATCCGCCCAGATTCATCCAGAAAAAGATGGAAATGATTTGAACAGGATAAGCTAGGGTGAGGATTAGACATGATGAATTCAGCTGGAGACACTCATGGTAGAGTCTGGAGGTCTCTTTGGGGGATCACTTCCAAAAGTGCAGATTTTTAGAGAAACGAGAAAGCTTCTGGAAAGGGATGTTTTCCTTCTGCTCAATGGCAGTTTCAGGCTTCCTATAAAAAAGAAGTTTGTAGCGTCAGCATATTTGACAAATGGGGGAGAGGGAAGATTGAAGAGCTTGAAATTGCACTGCACTTCCCAAAGATGGAGAAGACATCAGGGATGAATTTCAAAGGTCAAAGGTGATAGAAATGGAGCTGCCCTTTGAGGATTTCAAGGGGAGAGGGAACAGAGGCCTCACCATCAATCCACACGTCCTGTGCTAGAGTCTTGCGGTTCTTATTTCCTCTACCCTCTTCCAACGATTATTCCCATATATCAAGGCCATCTGACAGAGTTAACCATCAGAATTAAATAGCAGTTCCCACAGAGTTCCATCCCCTGGAGAGGTACCTAGCTGCCCGGGCAGGCCTGAAGCCTGGGTCAGGCGGCATTGTGTCTTTCACTCTCCACTGAGGTCTTGGACTGAGAGCTTCAAATTCCAAAGGGATGAGGTGTCGGCTTCCTCTTAGGAGTCCGGAGGGCTCTGACCAAGGAGAAGGGCGGAGCCCAGCCACTGGAAGGTTTGTTTCTTGCAGTGGAAGACGGCTGGCGACCCGGATGGCTTTTACTTTGTTTCCAGGGCCAGCCTAATCCGCCCGATTCTCGATCGCTATACTGCCTCCTTTTCCCATGCACATCGCAAGGGGTCGGTTGCTGGGGCTCTCGGTATGACTTCGCTATGAAAAATAAAGGTCTTCTTAAGCGGGAGAGGATTGATTTGAGGACGGAGGGTGGGAGTAATGCCGGCAGCACTTTGTCCTAGTGGCAATGGGTGGGCAGTTATCAGTTGCAGCCCGCTCCTTTCTCAGTGCCCACGGTTTCTCATTGACAGTGCAGCTCGTTTCTCAGAGCCGGCGGATGTTCACGGGCAGCACCATGGAGCCAGAAGCAGTTATTTGTCCTGGTAGGTCATTTCCCAATTGCCGAGGTGTACTAGGTTCCAGTCCCTCTGGTTTCTGGAATCTGCTGGTCCCACGCGAAACACCAATAGGTAAACCCAGCCGGCAGTTTCCGGTTAGCACTTTCGCTATTTGAAGACATTAGGAAGTTAGGCGGTGGCTCCGTGCTCTTCCTTTCTCCATCCGAGGCCCGTGTCCTAAAGTCGGTGTCACGGTGGCAGCACCCAGCGTTTTGTTGGCTCTTTCGCCAACAGCGCCGAGCCGGGGGGAGGGTTTCTGTCACAGCACTTGTTGCACCGCATTTCTCGGTCGCAGAACCTCTCTTTTCCGAGGGTCGACATTTTCTCCGTGACAACACAGTTGGTTGCGCCAAAACGGATGTTGCCCTTGGGAACTCCTCCGGCTGGCGTCACTCGCAGAGTCCCGGCACCGCCATTTCGCGGAGCCGAGTTCTTTTGGTGGCGGCACAGCTTGTTCCTCGGTGCCTCCATTTTCTCGGTGGCGGCAGCGCTCTGGTCGCTGATCTGAGGGACTTGGAGTCGCAGCCAGTTGCGCAGAGTCTGGCGTTCCCGGGTGGCGGCGGCGCTGGGCGGGGGAGCCCGCCGCTCGTCTGAGCCAAGTGGCAGAGGAGCTGCGCGGGCGCCGTCTCTTCACAGCGCCGCGAGCGGCGTCGTAGGGGTTCTGGCTTAGCCTCCAGAACCCAGTCCCCTGGCGGCGCCGCCGCTCGCGTCTCTGTCCCAGGCCTCTGCGGTTTCGCGCGTCGTTGGCTTCTTGGTTCTCGCAAGTTTCGATTTCGCGGTGCCTGCGATTGCTACCTCTTGTACAAATCAATAGCCAAAATGTGATTTCTCAGCCTAAGCAAGTCCCGGTTTAGGGCAAACACCGGTCTAGCCCTGGCTGCGATTTCTTGATCCTAGAAGTCACTGTTTAGCAAGGCAGACTTAACTGTGCGATGGTAATTTCTTTTTCTTTGGTTCTTTTTCTTTTTCTTTCTTGATACGGGGTCCGGCTCTGTCGCCCAGGATGGTGTGCAGTGCCGCGATCTCGGATCACTGCAACCTCCGCCTCCCGGGCTGAAGCGATCCTCCCACCCCAGCCTCTGGAGTAGCTGGGACCACAGGCACACGCCACCACGCCCGGGTAATTTTTAGTATTTTTCCTAGAGACGGAGTTTCGCCAGGTTGCCTGGGCTGATCTCAAACTCCTGATTTCTTAGTCTGACCAAGTCAGAGTTTAGCTATTTCTTACCCTAGCAAGTTGAGATGTATTCTAGTTTGAGATTTCTAGCCGTAACATTTCTGACTTTAACCATGCCTACATAATTTTAGTAGCAGCAAGTTTCTCTTTCGTAATAAGAACCCCCATTATCGCCACCCGTGTGGTTTATAACTCCTGTATTAATCTGGGTACTGGAGAATGCAATTTAAAAAATTTAGCAGTGCCTGGAATTTTTTATCATACCAAGTTAGAATTCGCAATACTCTCGCCCTGGCTATACTGGTGATTTTTCACTCATGTAGAAGTTGGGGTACGTAGGCTACAGATAATTTTTGGTGTCGCAAATACCAGTTTAACCGTGGCTGTTCTTAATCCGAGGAAACTTCGGATAGGCGCAAGAGGCATGGGTTTAGTGTTAACAAATATAATGGTAGGATTGCACCATTCGACACTGTTTGCAATTTCTTTGTAGGATTCTTTGTATGTATACTCAAAAAAAAATATTTTTTTTTTGGTGTATCTTGTTCTGGGAGCAAGGTTATTGGTGTATTTTATTTTCATTTCTATTTGCTTTTAAAAATTTAATTATTTTAAATTTAAATGTTACGGTATTTTTTCGTACCCACTGTCTTCCCCAGTAGAATAAATGTGGCGTATTTCTTCTACTGATTTTCAGTGTCACATCTCAGGTTCTTTCTAACTTGCCTTCACCCGTGAGCACTGGAGGCGAGCTGGTGCCCTATGGCTAGGGTTCTCTGCCGCGGCTCTGCTCTTATACCGAGCCAGCGGTTTCGCATTCGCACTTTCGCCACTAGGGGCGACTCAGTGTTTTCTCGGTTGCTGCACTCTTGGTAGCGCTGAAGAAAACAACGTTCCTCATTCACAAGACTCAAAAGTTCTTTGTGGTATCGCTTCCTGTGTCCTAGCACGGCTACTTTCCCCCCGGCTGGCTGTCTCACTGTCTCAGCACCGTAATTGGGCGAGACTTTGCTGGCAGGGCTTGGCCTTGGTTTTTCTGTCACAGGCGTATTTCACTGGGTAGGCGCTTTCTCGGTGGAAGCACCATACAACCTTCCAACCCCTGATATTTCTGAGACGAGTTTCTTATTAGCAATACCTTAACTGCGCCAAAAATAAAGTTTGCCGCAGGGTACACCGCTGGTTATTCAGTGTCGACACTTGATCTTGATGCACGATTTTGGCGCCTCAGCTCAGCTAAGTCCAGGTTGTTGTGTTTTTTGTTTGTTTTGCTTTTTTGTTTGTTTGTTTGTTTGTTTTGAGACGGAGTCTCGCTCTGTCGCCCAGGCTGGAGTGCAATGGCGCCATCTCTGCTCACTGCAACCTCCACCTGTCAGGTTCAAGCGATTCTCCTGTCTCAGCTTCCTGAGTAGCTGGGATTACAGGCACACGCCACCACTGCTGGCTAATTTTTGTATTTTTCGTAGAGACAGGGTTTCACCATGTTGGCCAGGCTGGTCTTGAACTCCTGACCTCAGGCAATCCACCCACCTCGGCCTCCCAAAGTGCTGGAATTACAGGCGTGAGCCATCGCGCCCGGCTAAGTTCGGGTTTTTGTTTCACCATGAGGAAGAAATGGGCACACAGACATCGAAGAGTGAGTGGAGTAGAATTTACTAACTGCACTCTAGCCTGGGCGACAGAGCGAGACTCCGTATCAAAAAAAAAAAAAAAAGAAAAAGAAAAAAAAGGAAGTGAGAATGGTCACATGGGAAGCCTGCTCCATACCCAAATCACAAAAACACTTTACAATTCCACTTTCACAATTTGTTGCCATTTTCTTATACTGATAATTGGTATTTAATTAATCTAACAAGAAGTGCATGACAAAGACAGTTTTATTCCCATGTTCCATTCAGATTGTAGCACCTAAGCTCCTTTATATTCAAATTCTGAACTGTCACTGTGTGAAAAAAAGTCTTCATAGCTAGAGCAAATTAATGCCAACACCAAGTTTCTGGGTTTTAGTTTCTAACATCTAAGATGACAGAAAAGTTTCAAAGTCCAAAGGGTGATTGCTACTGCATGTTTTTTTTATCTCTTTCTGAAGACAACCATTTTTCTGTGCCTGACACATTGCAGGTTGAAGCTATGAGGATGCATAAATCTTTCTCCTGGGATACCTTCAGGAAGGAGTGAGTCTCAGATGTGCAGGCCCTGAGATGGATAGAGTTTGTGAGAGAATAGCCTCCTTGGGCCAAGTATGCACCGGTGATGTACTTTAGCCTTCAGTGTTGCTAGATCTTGAAGTTTTGCTGAATATTTGGTTTTGCTGGATCCAATCCATGTGAATTTCTGAGGTGGGCGGGCCCCACATTGGCAGAATTATGCAACTGTCTGAGAATGCCTGACCTGGAGCTGATGCCCTGAAATGCCGTGATTGTCAATTCAAAAGGCAAAGGGCTGGGGGTCTTCCTTATGGCCCACTAAATTTAATTTCCACCTCCACCCTGTGAATGTAAACTTTACACCATTGAAGGAACATTTATTGACGGTTGTTCTCTGCTCTCAGCAGGGAGGCCAAGCTCAGTTGCAAGAGAACCCCAGGACAGTGGACCACTGCTCCTTCCCACCCTGGTGATATCCACAGCTGTTCAAAGGCTCCCTGGAGTTCAGCCTCCAGCTCTGATCTGGGTCCCAGTCCCTTTCATGCCCCCGCCCACCTGTGTGTGTTTCAAATCCTGACTCCACCAACCTCAAATCTATTTCACAGGTGGAGAATATGGAAGAATGCTTTAATCTTCATGTACAAAAAACTATGAACTCTGAGAAGATCTAAAAGTAGAGTTCCTTAGCACATTGTTGATTATGCAGATAGAATTTTTCCAATTGAAAAACCTTGAAGGCATTCAGAAGATGAAGAACAAAATATGGAAGGATCTCCACTGCAGAGACTTCCAGCTCCAGGCAGGGCACGGTCCTATGAAAGTCCCCAAGAACAGCATGAGGGCTCCCACTGGGGTGCATGAGCTTCTTCCAGGGCATTGATAGAAAGGAGTGGTGCCATGAGCCATGACCAAGACTGGGGTTCCTTTGTTTTCTGGGTTCTAGTCTGTCCTAAGCCTTAGTTTTCAGCAATTTCTTCTGGGCATCCTGGGCTCTGCTCTGGGCATCTATCTGTCCAACTTTGCTGATTGGCATCTCCTGGCTGGGTCATGGCCCATTGTGTTGTGTCGTCTATAGCATACACTTAGTTTTCTTTTTTTTGTTTGTAAGTGATTTATTAGGAAGTAGTTTTTTAAAATGCTACTTTCTTTTTTTAATTTTTTTTATTATTATAAAGTTCTAGGGTACATGTGTACAACGTGCAGGTTTGTTACATATGTATACATGTGCCATGTTGGTGTGCTGCACCCATTGACTTGTCATTTACATTAGGTATTCCTCCTAATGCTATCCCTCCTCCCTCCCCCCACCCCCCGACAGGCCTGGGTGTGTGATATTCCCCCACCCTGTGTCCAAGTGTTCTCATTGTTCAATTCCCACCTATGAGTGAGAACATTCGGTGTTTGGTTTTCTGTCCTTGCGATAGTTTGCTCAGAATGATGGTTTCCAGCTTCATCCACATCCCTACAAAGGACATGAACTCATCCTTTGTTATGGCTGCATAGTATTCCATGGTGTATATGTGCCACATTTCCTTAATCCAGTCTGTCACTGATGGACATTTGGGTTGGTTCCAAGTCTTTGCTATTGTGAATAGTGCTGCAATAAACATACATGTACATGTGTTTTTATAGCAGCTTGATTTATAATCTTTCGGGTATATACCCAGTAGTGGGATGGCTGGATCAAATGATATTTCTAGTTATAGATCCTTGAGGAATCGCCACACTGTCTTCCACAATGGTTGAACTAGTATACACTCCCATCAACAGTGTAAGAGTATTCCTGTTTCTACACATCCTCTCCAGCGTCCGTTGTTTCCTGACTTTTTAATGATCACCATTCTAACTGGTGTGAGATGGTATCTCATTGTGGTTTTGATTTGCATTTCTCTGATGGCCAGTGATGATGAGCGTTTTTGCATGTGTCTGTTGGCTGCATAAATGTCTTCTTTTGAGAAGTGTCTGTTCATATCCTTCACCCACTTTTTGATGGAATTGTTTGATTTTTTTCTTATAAATTTGTTTGAGTTCTTTGTAGATTCTGGATATTAACCCTTTGTCAGATGGGTAGATTGCAAAAATTTTCTCCCATTCTGTAGGTTGCCTGTTCACTCTGATGGTAGTTTCTTTTGCTGTGCAGAAGCTCTTTAGTTTAATTAGATCCCATTTGTCAATTTTGGCTTTTGTTGCCATTGCTTTTGGTGTTTTAGTAATGAAGTCCTTGCCCATGCCTGTGTCCTGAATGGTATGGCCTAGGTTTTCTTCTAGGGTTTTTATGGTTTTAGGTCTAACATTTAAGTCTTTAATCCATCTTGAATTAATTTTTGTATAAGGTGTAAGGAAGGGATCCAGTTTCAGCTTTCTACATATGGCTAGCCAGTTTTCCCAGGACTATTTATTAAATTGGGAATCCTTTCCCCATTTCTTGTTTTTGTCAGTTTGTCAAAGATCAGATGGTTGTAGATGTGTGGTATTATTTCTGAGGGCTCTGTTGTGTTCTATTGGTCTATATCTCTGTTTTGGTACCAGTACCATGCTGTTTTGGTTACTGTAGCCTTGTAGTATAGTTTGAAGTCAGGTAGCGTGATGCCTCCAGCTTTGTTCTTTTTGCTTAGGATTGTCTTTGAAGGGGGCCAGCCCCTCCACACCTGTGGGTATTTCTCATCAGGTGGGATGAGAGACTGAGAAAAGAAAGAAGACACAGAGACAAAGTATAGAGAAAGAACAGTGGGCCCAGGGGACTGGCGCTCAGCATATGGAGGACCCGCACCGGCTCTGGTCTCTGAGTTCCCTCAGTATTTATTGATCACTATCTCTACTATCTTGGTGAGAGGGATGTGGCAGGACGATAGGGTAATGATGGGGAGAGGATCAGCAGGAAAACATGTGAACAAAGGACTCTGTGTCATAAATAAGTTTAAGGAAAGGTGCTGTGCCTCGATGTACACGTAGGCCAGATTTATGTTTGACTTTACACAAACATCTCAGTGCAGTAAAGAGCAGTATTGTCGTCCGCATGTCTCACCTCCAGCCATAAGGCAGTTTTCTCCTATCTCAGTAAATAGAATGTACGATCGGGTTTTACACCTTGACATTCCATTCCCAGGGACGAGCAGGAGACAGATGCCTTCCTCTTGTCTCAACTGCAAAGAGGCCTTCCTCTTTCACTAATCCTCCTTAGCACAGACTCTTTACAGGTGTTGGGCTGGGGGATGGTCAGGTCTTTCCCTTCCCATGAGGCCATATCTCAGGCTGTCTCGGTGGGGAGAAACCTTGGACAATACCAAGGTTTTCTTGGGCAGAGGTCCCTGTGGCCTTCCACAGTGCATTGTGTCCCTGGGTACTCAAGACTAGAGAATGGCGATGACTTTTACCAAGCATACTGCCTGCAAACACATTTTTAACAAAGTACATCCTGCACAGACCTATATCCATTAAACCTTGAGCCAACACAGCCCACGTTTCTGCGAGCACAGGGTTGGTGCTAGGGTTACAGATTAACAGTATCTCAAGGCAGAAAAATTTTTCTTAGTACAGAACAAAATGGAGTTTCTTATGCCTTCTTCTTTCTTCATAGACACAGTAACAGTCTGATGTCTCTTTCTTTCCCCCACAGTCTTGCAATGTGGGCTCTTTTTTGGTTCCACATGAACTTTAAAGTAGTTTCTTCCAATTCTGTGAAGAGAGTCATTGGTAGCTTCATGGTGATGGCATTAAATCTATAAATTACCTTGGGCAGTATGGCCATTTTCAAGACACCGATTCTGCCTATCCATGAGCATGGAATGTTCTCCCATTTGTTTGTGTCCTCCTTTATTTCATTGAGCAGTGGTTTGTAGTTCCCCTTGATGAGGTCCTTCACATCCCTTGTAAGTTGGATTCCTAGGTATTTTATTCTCTTTGAAGCAATTGTGAATGGGAGTTCACTCATGATTTGGCTCTCTGTTTGTCTGTTATTGGTGTATAGGAATGCTTGTAATTTTTGCACATTGATTTTGTATCCTGAGACTTTGCTAAAATTGCTTATCAGCTTAAGGAGATTTTGGACTGAGATGATGGAGTTTTCTCTAAATATACAATCATGTCATCTGCAAACAGGGACAATTTGACTTCCTCTTTTCCTAATTGAATACCTTTATTTCTTTCTCTTGCCTGATTGCCCTAGCCAGAACTTCCAACACTGTGTTGAATAGGAGTGGTGAGAGAGGGCATCCCTGTCTTGTGCCAGTTTTCAAACAGAATGCTTCGAGTTTTTGCCCATTCAGTATGACATTGGCTGTGAGTTTGTCATAATAGCTCTTATTATTTTGAGATATGTCCAATCAATACCTAGTTTATGAGAGTTTTTACCATGAAGGACTGTTGAATTTTGTCAAAGGCCTTTTCTGTAACTATTGAGATAATCGTGTGGTTTTTGTCTTTGGTTCTGTTTATATAATGGATTATGTTTATTGATTTGTGTATGTAGAATGAGCCTTGCATCCCAGGGATGAAGCCAACTTGATCGTGGTGGATAAGCTTTTTGATGTGCTGCTGGATTCGGTTTGCCAATATTTTATTGAGGATTTTTGCATCGATGTTCATCAGGGATATTGGTCTAAAATTCTTTTTTTTTGCTTTTTTTTGTTTTGTGTGTGTGTGTGTGTGTGTGTGTGTGTGTGTGTGTGTGTGTCTTCCAGGCTTTGGTATAGCATAATGTTGGCCTCATAAAATGAGTTAGGGAGGATTCTCTCTTTTTCTATTGATTGGCATAGTTTCAGAAGGAATGGTACCAGCTCCTCCTTGTACCTCTGGTAGAATATGACTGTGAATATGTCTGGTCCTGGACTTTTTTTGGTTGGTAGGCTATTAATTATTGCCTGAATTTCAGAGCCTGTTATTGGTCTATTCAGGGATTCAATTTCTTCCTGATTTAGTCTTGAGAGGGTGTATGTGTCCAGGAATTTATCCATTTCTTCTAGATTTTCTAGTTTATTTGCATAGAGGTGTTTATAGTATGCTCTGATGGTAGTTTGTATTTCTGTGGGATCGGTGGTGATATCCCTTTTATCATTTTTTTTTTTTTTGATTCTTCTCTCTTTTCTTCTTTATTGGGCTTGATAGTGGTCTATCAATTTTGTTGATCTTTTCAAAAAACCAGCTCCTGGATTCATTGATTTTTTGAAGCGTTTTTTGTGTCTCCATCTCCTTCAGTTCTGCTCTGATCTTAGTTATTTCTTGCCTTCTTCTAGCTTTTGAATGTGGTTGCTCTTACTTCTCTAGTTCTTTTAATTGTGATGTTAGGGTGTCAATTTTAGATCTTTCCTGCTTTCTCTGTGGACATTTAGTGCTATAAATTTCCCTCTACACACTGCTTTAAATGTGTCCCAGAGATTCTGGTATGTTGTGTCTTTATTCTCATTGGTTTCAAAGAACAACTTTATTTCTGCCTTCATTCCATTATGTACCCAGTAGTCATTCAGGAGCAGGTTGTTCAGTTTCCATGTGGTTGTACGGTTTTGAGTGAGTTTCTTAATCCTGAGTTCTAATTTGATTGCACTGTGGTCTGAGAGATAATTTGTTATAATTTCTGTTCTTTCACATTTGCTGAGGTGTGCTTTACTTCCAACTATGCGGTCAGTTTTGGAATAAGTGCAATGTGGTACTGAGAAGAATGTATATTCTGTTGATTTGGGGTAGAGAGTTCTGTGGATGTCTATTAGGTCCTCTTGGTACAGAGCTGAGTTCAAATCCTGGATATCCTTGTTAACTTTCTGTCTCATTAATCTGTCTAATGTTGACAGTGGAGTGTTAAAGTCTCCCATTATTATTGTGTGGGAGTCTGAGTCTCTTTGTAGGTCTCTAAGGACTTGCTTTATGAATCTGGGTGCTCCTGTATTGGGTACATACATATTTAGGATAGTTAGCTCTTCTTGTTGAATTGATCCCTTTACCATTATATAATGGCCTTCTTTGTCTCTTTTGATCTTTGTTGGTTTAAAGTCTGTTTTATCAGAAACTAGGATTGCAACCCCTCCTTTTTTGTTTTCCATTTGTTTCGTAGATCTTCCTCCATCCCTTTATTTTGAGCCTATGTGTGTCTCTGCACCTGAGATAGGGCTCCTGAATACAGCACACTGATAAGTCTTGACTCTTTATCCAATTTGCCAGTGTATGTCTTTTAATTGAGGCATTTAGCCCACTTACATTTAAGGTTAATATTGTTATGTGTGAACTTGATTCTGTTATTATGATGTTAGCTGGTTATTTTGCTCATTAGTTACTGATGCAGTTTCTTTCTAGCATTGATGGTGTTTACAATTTGGCATGTTTTCGCAGTGGCTGGTAATGGTTGTTCCTTTCCATGTTTAGTGCTTCCTTCAGGAGCTCTTGTAAAGCAGGCCTGGTGGTGACAAAATCTCTCAGCATTTGCTTGTCTGTAAAGGATTTTTATTTCTCCTTCACTTATGAAGCTTAGTTTGGCTGGATATGAAATTCTGGGTTGAAAATTCTTTTCTTTCAGAATGTTAAATATCGGCCCCCACTCTCTTCTGGCTTGGAGAGCTTCTTCTGCGAGATCCACTGTTAGTCTGATGGGCTTGCCTTTGTGGGTAACCCGACCTTTCTCTCTGGCTGCCCTTAGCATTTTTTCCTTCATTTCAACCTTGGTGAATCTGACAATTATGTGTCTTGGGGTTGCTCTTCTTGAGGAGTATCTTTCCAGCGTTCTCTGTATTTCCTGAATTTCAATGTTGGCCTGCCTTGCTAGGTTGGGGAAGTTCTCCTGGATAATATCCTGAACAGTGTTTTCCAACTTGGTTCCATTCTCCCCATCACTTTCAGGTACACTAGTCAAACGTAGATTTGGTCTTTTCACATAGTCCCATATTTCTTGGAGGCTTTGTTCATTTCTTTTTACTCTTTTTTCTCTAAACTTCTCTTCTCACTTCATTTCATTCATTTGATCTTCAATCACTGATACCCTTTCTTCCCATTGATCAAATCGGCTACTGAAGCTTGTGCATGCATCATGTAGTTCTCATGCTGTGGTTTTCAGCTCCATCAGGTCATTTAAGGTCTTCTCTATGCTGTTTATTCTAGTTAACCATTCGTCTAATCTTTTTTCAAGGTTTTTAGCTTCTTTGCGATGGTTTCGAACATCCTCCTTTAGCTCGGAGAAGTTTGTTATTACCGGTCTTCTGAACCCTACTTCTGTCATCAAAGTCATTGTCTGTCCAGCTTTGTTCCATTGCTGGCAAGGAGCTGCATTTGTTTGGAGGTGAAAAGGCACTCTGATTTTTAGAATTTTCAGCTTTTCTGCTGTGGTTTCTCCCCATCTTCATGGTTTTATCTACCCTTAGTCTTTGATGATGGTGACCTACAGATGGGGATTTGGTGTAGATGCCCTTTTTGTTGGTGTTGACACTATTCCTTTCTGTTTGTTAGTTTTCCTTCTAACAGTCAGGACCCTCAGCTGCAGGTCTGCTGGAGTTTGCTGGAGGTCCACTCCAGACCCTACTTGCCTGGGTGTCACCAGCGGAGGCTGCAGAACAGCAAATATTGCAGAACAGCAAATATTGCAGAACAGCAAATATTGCTGCCTGATCCTTCCTCTGGAAGCTTCGTCTCAGAGGGGCACCCGGATGTATGAGGTGTCAGTCAGCCCCTGCTGGGAGGTGTCTCCCAGTTAGGCTACTCAGAGGCCAGGGACCCACTTGAGGAGGCAGTCTGTCCATTCCTAGATCTCAAACTCTGTGCTGGGAGAACCACTGGTCTCTTCAAAGCTCAGTTGGAAATGCAGAAATCATCTGTCTTCTGCATTGCTTACACTGGGAGCTGTAGACTGGAGCTGTTCCTATTCGGCCATCTTCGAACAATCTCAGCATATACTTACTTTTCAGGTGAGTGCAGCTTTTCTGTGGTTTCAGCCATTGGCCTCAGAGTGTGGGTCTCAACAGCATTTTTGTCCCCTTTAAACTTCAGGAATGACTCTAGCCTATGTAAGCCCAGCATGGCAGCCTGAATGCACTGCACTTCATATGTGCATAGAACTGAGGACATTGGCAGCACTGGCTCAGAGCAGTGAAGTTGTCCAGTGCCCAGTCCCAGCTTACTTTAGGCTTAGGCCAGGTGGCACGTGGGACTCTGGACATGCTGCCTTCGACAGCTCTTCCAAAGATGATGAATGGGGCTCCATATTTTAGCCTCTAGATCAGGCCAAGCTATGTGGCTGGTCTAGGAAGGGGAGTAAATGATTCTGTCCAGTACGGAGTGTGCTTTTATAGTGTGTTCTGTCATATACAGAATGGCAGACACCAAAGTCCAAATAGTTGGGAGATTATCACTAATTTGTCTGGAAAAATTTCTTTAGGACCTGGTAGCATTCAGGTGAAAATTGTAGGCACAATTGAAAGTCAGCAGGGTTGTTATGACTGAATCATGCAAGAAAAGAAGAAGTGAGGGAAATTCCATGGAAGGTTAGAGTCCAGTTACTAACAGTGTCTATTGTAGGAGAAAAGAAGTTAATAGTTTTTTTGTCACCCATTACCAGAGTTATGGCTTACAATCTTATATCAAAACACAGATTAAGAAGAGAAAACCATTAAAAAATTATTTAACAAAGTTTTCCATGACAAGGGAGCCCTCAGAAATGAAGACTAAAGACCCAATGAAAAGCATATATTTCTATGCTTCGATTCTATAGGCAAGTCATGTAGAAGTATGATTGCACAATAAGTGTATTATGTAGTGCTAATAAATGGGCACTGGGGAACCCAGAAGTGGCTCTCTGTTCAGATTCTTTTGGCCTCTGGGTAAGGAAGTACTCCTCTGGAATAAGGCCTTTATGCCCTACTTTCAGGGGAGGTAGGTCAGAGCATTCCTTTATGGCCAGCTGCCACACAGAAAGGCATAATTGTAGTAATACTGACCTTCTTGCTTCTGTGGTTTTCTCAATTGCCAAGGTACCATGAAACTTCCTTGTGAAGTTTTTCAGTTCAGGAACTGGGTCACTATATTATCTAGTCATTATACCAGTCTCTCAGTCCTGAGAATAGGTCAGCCCAGTTACACAGTTAACAGGACTGTCTCAAGTCAGGGATTGCAGAATGGCATCCACCAAAGTTAGGGCTAAGCAATCATTCATTTAATAAGAGATATTTCCAGCAGGGTGTGGTGGCTCATGCCTGTAATCCCAGCACTTTGGGAGGCCGAGGTGGGCAGATCACCTAGGGAGTTTGAGACCACCCTGACCAACATGGAGAAACCCCATCTCTACTAAAAATACAAAATTAGCCGGGCGTGGTGGCGCATTCCTGTAATCTCAGCTACTTGGGAGACTGAAGCAGGAGAATCGCTTGAACTCGGAAGGTGGAGGTTGCGGTGAGCCAAGATTGTACCATTGCACTCCAGCCTGGGCAACAAGAGCAAGACTCTGTCTCAAAAAAAAAAAAAAAAAAAAAAAAAAAAAAAAAATAGAGATATTTTCATTGAAACAAGAGAAAAACAAAGGTTAATGATTGGAACTAACTATAAACTCAGTTTTGTGGGTCCAGAAGGCAGCCAGTCAGAAATTTTTAGATATTGAGCTTGAAGTATCTTCAGTTTGAATGGGGGCAGGCAGTGGCAATCTGACAGAATTTCCTGGTTTGCAGTTTGCATGAGGTATTCTGGTTAAATTTCTGACTAGTCCGTGTATGAGTGGTGGTGATTTCTCTGCAGTCTATATTAACCCATCCAGCTTCAGCTGACAAGACTTCAGGAAAAGTATAGTTTAATTTCAGCAATTCAAAGCCAGAAGGGTAGAAGAAAAATCAGAAATATTAGTTTTAAGAGCCATAGCTAGGTTTTTTTTTTTTAGACGAAGTCTTGCTCTGTCGCCCAGGCTGGAGTACAGCATCACCATCTCCACTCACTGCAACATTCACCTCTGTGTTCAAGCAATTATCCTGCCCCTGCCTCCTGAGTAGCTAGGATTACAGGCATGCACCACCATACCCAGCTAATTTTTGTATTTTTTGTAGAGATGGGTTTTCACCATGTTGTCCAGGCTGGCCTCGAACTCGTAGCCTCAAGTGATCCACCTCCCTCAACGTGCCAAAGTGCTGGGATTACAGGCATGAGCCAATGCGTCCGGCCCCCCCTTTTTTTTCTTTCTTTCTTTTTTTTTTTTTTTTTTTTGAGACGGGTCTTGCTTTGTAATTGAGGCTGGAGTGCAGTGGCACAAACAAGGCTTACTGCAGCCTCGACCTCTTTGGCTCAAACAATCCTTCCATCTCCATCTTCCAAGTAGCTGCAACCACAGGCACATGCCTCCATGCCCAGCAAATTTTGAACTTTTTGTAGAGATGGTATTTCGCCTTTTGCCCAGGCTGGTCTCGAACTCCTGGGCTTCAGCAATCCTCCCACTTCGACCTCCCAAAGTGCTGGGATTGCAGGTGCGAGCTCTGACACCCAGCCCATTGCCAGATATTACAGGAAAAAAAAATATTCAAGATCCAGTCTAGATTTCAGGTAGATGACAAAACCTCAAAAACAATGAGCTAGAGTCTAATAACAGGGGCACTATAATTTTTTTTTCTCTGAAATTTTTTTTCTCTATACCTACTCCCTTTTTATCAAACATCATCAAAGTATTAGTACAAGTAATTTGTTTGCAAAATAAATTTTGTGTCTTTAAAGTTGGCCTACTGTTTACACAAATGCAGCAGGAATAGTGTTTTGCCACATAGGCTCTCTTTAAGTTGGCTTTTCTGGATATTTTAATAAGGAATCTCAAATTAGACTTTTAAAAGCCTCTCAAGGCTAGGAAACCATACCAGGATCTTGCTATCACACTTTGCCTGGAATACCTATAGATTTGGGTGAATTCTTCCCTTGTCAAGGTCCTCCAGATATCCTGATGTTCCTTAATCTGCCAGGAAGTGACATTTCTTACTCACCTGTAAGGCCAGGAACGCTTTTAAGTCAGACCAGTTTCTCATGTCTGAGTATGTTGTTTCTGTTCCTAAAAACCACAAAGGAAAGAAAACAGTGATATTACATTCAACATGGTAACAATTCTGAATCTTTGTTCTAACAGTGGAAATATAATATCTCTAGGGATTAAGCCTGGTCTCCAGAATGTACCCAAGGCCGTAGGAAAATAACATTCAGATGTTTTTTAACAGCACTTCCAAGGATGAGCTGAGGGGGTTTCTCAGTATAGGGGAAACTGTCACAAGGTGTACCCTCTTTTGTTTTGAAGCAGTAAAGGAAGTTCTCATTCTTCCCCATTCTTTGTTCAAAGCATATGAGATATGACCCAGCATTATAGTTATTGTCATGCTACCTTACATGCATGTGAATCTCTTAAGGCTAACTCAATGCTAATGTTCTCTCTCTCTTCTAAATCCCATGAGATCATGATGTATTTTTTAAAACATATATTGCTGGATTCAGTACGCTAATACATTATAATTTTTAACACCTGTGATCATGAGCGCTATTGGCTAACCAAAAAATTGGGGGATTGACAAGAGTGCAAAAAGACCCCTGTCTTTTTGTTGTAAGGATTGTTTTATTTCTCCCACAGTGGATATATTCTTCCCCTTTCTTTCCTCCTAAGTGGATTATTCTTAGAAGCTGTCATAGATAGAGCTTCCTAGAAGATGGTTCCATGTGATCAAGCGAACTGTTGTGTTCAGGGTGGGTTCAGTTCATAGAACCCAATGTTCATAAAAGTAGTGAGGGATTCTCTTTAAGAAAAAGAATAAAAATTTTGAGTACAAAATTACAGTCCTGTTCAAAGGGATCCTAAAAGCTAAGCTTCCTTAGCTGCATGGTAAATTCACCTCTGACCCTGCATGATACCCAGTATGGGCCAATGAGGTAGTGTTGTGGGAAACTCAGGACCAGAGAGACTGATATGGAGAACAGGAGGATTGTTTATTTGAGGTACCCACCAGCTCAGTGGATTCGCATCCAAAAAGCTAAGCCTAGAACAAAGACAGAGTGGGGTTTTTATAAGCTGGCTTATAAAAGTAAAACAAAAGCAGCTAATCATATGATAGGTCACATAATCTATAGCATAGCATAATTTGTGGCCTTGCATAGCCGGTAGTCTTGTAGCTGCATTGAAAGAGAAACAAGAACTGGCTAAATACAGACATTTGTAAAACATAATCATGCTTAAGAAGCCTGGACAAGGAGTAACAGTAAAAGAATTTGTCTTTCTCTCTCTCTTTTTTTTTTTTCCTTCAACCTTGCTCTGGAGCGGGGGCAGGTGTCTGGAGTCCAATCCTTTGACCTTGGCTTTCCAGACAGGGGTATCTTATAACTGTCCTTGTAGTGAGCTTGCTAGTCAGGGGAAAACTTGTTCTTTTCTTTTTAACCCTTGCCCTGCCTGTTACTTTTCTTGGAGTAAATGAATGCATATTTATTTTTAAATTTTCTGCTTCAGTTGCACAGCATTGAATTGTCTCTTGCTCCGTCCTATTCCAATTACCCTGTCTTTTAACTCTCACTTTCTTTAAAAAAACACTTTTGAATTAAAAAGTGTCACAAAGTTTTCACTTTAGCTAATGCTTCCTGTGGAAGCCAGGCCAATAAAATATGCCTCTCTGTTTACCTTACATGGTTTGACTTTTTTCTTCTGCGGACTGAATCCTAAATAATTCAATCTGTATTGAAAAGATTATGAGGATGCCTACAATGATCCAGGTCACTATTGACTGTTGAATGGGCCCAAGTGAGACATGATGCCAGTATTTAATAAATCTGCCTGAGCGGGGCAGAAAAATAAAAAGGCCCTTTTAAATATCAAGCAAGTATGAATATTTATATGCCCATTTTGTATATCACTCTTGTCAATCCCCCAATTTTTTGGTTAGCCAATAGTGCTCATGATCACATGTGTTAAAAATTATAATGCATTAGCGTCCTGAATCCAGCAATATATGTTTTAAAAAATACATCATGATCTAGTGGGATTTATCCCATGAACTCAATATTGGTTTAGCACTTGAAAATCAGTTAATATTATTCAACATATTAACATTAAAAAGGAAGTAAACCATGTGATAATATCAGTAAATGCAGAAAATCTTTTAAAAATTTAACCCCTTGTCATTATTAAAATGTATCTTAACAAATTAGAAAAAGTGGATTCCCGTATTTAAAAATATATATGAGATGTACAGTTAATATTCCACCTTGAAAAAAATAAAAATGTTTAACCTCAAAATATATTTATTTGACATATTTTCAGATGACTGTCAGAGAACCAGCGAAAGAAGTAGCCCTGCAATGCGGTGGTTTGTGAGAAAAATTTGCATCTGTAGAAAATCTGCATTGATTCATATAGGCCTTCTCTTGTCTAGATCTAGGAAGGATTAACAGAATCTGAAACCTTAAAAGTTTTCTCTCTCCTATAACCTGTTTTGGCATGATGCACTTTTTTCTGTAACCTCAAGATGGTATATAAGCTCCTGCACCTCACTGAGGGGCTGGGTAATCATATATTTTGTAGTGTTTTCTCCTATTCTGCCTCTGAGTCGATTTTAGAGCAAATGTTCAGAGTGCTAAGAGAAAGATTTCCCTTGGCCCCTGAAAATTTGGTGCTGTGAGCAGGAACAGAAAATTTGGCTCCTTTGGAAGCCCATAGTTGAGGGAAAGCAGGAGCTGATCGGCCAGCGTAAGGATAAAGAATTTTTACCAGCCAGATTCCAGGCCCCACTCTGTGGCATCTGGTCAAGTAGAGAGTAAAAATCACTCTCTATTTTTCCTGTCCAAATCTTGACTGATGGGAGAAAAGGATTTGTGTGACTAGTGCTGGTGTATCAACTCTGTTGTACTTTCTGGTAGTTTGTGGTATGAATCATGTTGTTTCATCCCTTTCCTGCCAGAATAATCTTTTCTTTGTCTCTATCTTTCTGTGTTGTTCTGTCATGAAGAGGAGTACAGGAGTACAGTACAGATGAGATTTTTCTCTCATCTTGTTTTGTTTTTTAATTAAAAAAAATTTTTTTGAGATGGAGTCTCACTCTGTCGCCCAATCTGGAGTGTGGTGGCACCATCTGGATGCACTGCAACCTCTGTTTTCAGGGGAACCGGCCCCCAATATTTCAACATAGGTTCTTTTCTATTTTTGCTAAGTGTCAGCCGGTCTGATAAATAAAGGGAACGAGTGCAAAAGAGAGAAATTTTAAAGCTGGGTGTCCAGGGGAGACATCACATGTCGGCAGGTTCCGTGATGCCCCCTGAGCTGCAAAACCAGCAAGTTTTTATTAGTGATTTTTAAAGGGGAGGGAGTGTACCAGTAGGGTGTGAGTCACAGAGAATGCATGCTTCACAAGGCAATAAAATATCACAAGGCAAATGGGGGCAGAGCAGGATCACAGGACCGGGGCGAAATTAAAATTGCTAATGAAGTTTCATGTCCCACTGGGCACACATTGTCATTGATAACATCTTATCAGGAGACAGAGTTTCAGAGCAGACAACTGGTCTGACTAAAATTTACTAGGCAGGAATTTTCTCATCCTAATAGGCCTGTGAGCGCTGGGGCAGACCGGGCCTTATTTCATCCCTCATCTGCAACTGTAAAAGACAGACAGTCGCAGAGCAGCCATTTTAGAGACCTATGCCTGGGAATGCATTCTCTTTCTCAGGGCTGTTCCTTGCTGAGAAAAAGAATTCGGGAATATTTCTCCTATTCGCTTTTGTAAGAAGAGAAATATGGCTCTGTTCTAATGGTTGTCTCCCTTGTTCCCCGAACATCGCTGTTATCCTGTTCCTTTTTCAAGGCGCTCAGATTTCATATTGTTTAAACACACATGCTTTATGAACAATTTGTGCAGTTAATCATCACAGGGTCCTGAGGCAACATACATCCTCAGCTTATGAAGATGACGGGATTAAGAGATTAAAGTAAAGATAGGCATAGGAAATCACAAGAGTATTGATTGGGGAAGTGATAAATTTCCATGAAATCTTCAGAAGTTATGTTCAGAGATTGCAGTAAAGACAGGCATAAGAAATTATAAAATTATTAATTATAAAAGTATTAATTTGGGGAACTAGTAAATGTCCATGAAATCTTCACAATTTATGTTCTTCTGCCATGGCTTCAGCCGGTCCCTCTGTTCGGGATCCCTGACTTCCCGCAACACCTAGGTTCAAGCGAGTCTCCTGCCTCAGCCTCCTGAGGAGCTGGGATTACAGGTGTGTGCCACCATGCCTGGCTGTATTTTTTGGTATTTTTTATTTTAGTAGAGATGGGGTTTCACCATGTTGGCCATGCTGATCTCAAACTCCTGACCTCAGGTGATCTGCCTGCCTGGGCCTCCAAAGTATTGGGATTACAGGTGTGAACCAGTGTGCGTGGCTAATTTTTTTTTTTTTTTGACAGATTCTTGTGCTGTCACTCAGGCTGGAGTGCAGTGGCATGATCTGGGCTCACTGCAACCTCTGCCTCCTGGGTTTAAACAATTCTTGTGCCTCAGCCTTCCATGTAGCTGGGATTATAGGCATGTGCCACCACACCTGGGTAATTTTCATATGTGTAGTAGAGACAGACACCATGTTGGCCAGGCTGGTCTCAAAATCCTGACTTCAAGTGGGCCAAAGCCTGCCTTGGCCTCCCAAAGTGCTGGGATTATAGGCATGAACAACTAGTGCCTGGTCCTGTTTTGTTTTGTTTTTTAGAGACAGGACCTTACTATGTCACCCAGGCTAAAATACAGTGGTGCAATCATAGTTCACTGTAACTTCAAATTTCTGGACTCAAGACATCCTCCTGCCTTAGCCTCCCCAGGAGCTAGATTACAGGCACATGCCACCATGCCCAGCTAATTTTTTTTTTTTTTTTTTTTTTTTTTTTTTTTTTTTTTTTTTTGAGACCAAGTCTCACTCTGTAGCCCAGACTGGAGTGCAGTGGAGTGTTCTCAACTCACCACAACCTCCACCTTCTGAATTCAAGTGATTCTTCTGCCTTGGCCTCCCGAGTAGCTGTGATTACAGGCACCTGCCACCACACCCAGCTACTTTTTTTGTATTTTTAGTAGAGATGGTGTTTCACCATGTTGGCCAAGCTAGTCATGAACTCCCAACCTCAGGTAATCCGCCCACCTCGGCCTCCCAAATTGCTAGGATTACAGGCGTGAGTGAGCCATGCTGCCCAACCCCAGCTAATTTTTTAAAAATACTTTTGTAGAGACAGGTCTCCTTATGTGCCCAGGCTGCTCACGAGCTCCTGGCCTCCCAAAGCACTAGGATTACAGGTGTAAGCCACCATGCCCAGCCTGAAATAGTCAATATGCCAGAGGTATATTGGTGTATTGGGGTGGTGTATTTTGGTGTCCTACAGTCATATTTTGAGGGGGTGTGTCCAGAACAATCAACTGAGAGTTTAGGTTGGTATCTTGGAGTGTTAGGGGGAAGGGACACAGTAAAATCACACACACACACACACACACACACACACACACACACACACAAAATATTAGAAGATAAGCTTTAAATTTACACCAAAAGTTGATTTAACACTGAATGCTAAAATTACATTTATCTATTCAACCACAGGCAGAGCTATACACACTCCAACTTCCTTAAGTGAGGTTGTGCAACTACATAATGGAGAGAATTAAGAAGCAAGCCCAGAACAAAGCTTGTGCTCACCAGTTTTTGGTTGAGAATGAAACAAGGTAAAGCACAAAATACAGTTGGCACACTGTCTATCGAAAATAATGATTTTTGTGCCACAAACCACACAATATGTGAGGAGAACTAAAAGGGGAGCCAAGGAGCTGAAAGTGTTTATGAGAAATTGCACCTTACAGATACTGGAGGAGTGAGGAAGATGATTTTCCCACTCACCCAACCATTTCGATGTATCGAACTACACTGTGAAAAAACAAATATGATAATATAAATAGGTTTTAAAAATCACAACTCAGCTTGGCACGGTTGCTCATGCCTATAATCCCAGCACTTTGGGAGGCCAAGGCAGGTGGATCACATGAGACCAGGAGTTCGAGACCAGCCTGGCTAACATGGCGAAACCCCGTCTCTTCTAAAATAACAAAAATTATCTGGGCATTGTGGCAAGTGTCTGTGGTCCCTGTACTCAGGAGGCTGAGGCACAAGAATGGCTTGAACCTGGGAGGCAGAGGTTACAGTGAGCCGAGATCATGTCACTACACTCCAGCCTGGGTGATAGAGCAAGATTCTGTCTCAAAAATAAATAAATAAATAAACAAATAAATAGAAATAATTTAAAAAATAAAAAATAACTCTAATCTCTATGCAATTTTCAAGAGGCAAACAAGCTAAAATTACACCACCGGTTGAAAATAAAGGAGTGGATACCTGAATTTAATCAATTCTAGGGTAAATATTTTTCTTATTTTAGTGTCTCTGAAATAGGTATATATTTTAAAATGGGTGGCCTCTTACCATTGGGACATAGTATAATTTGCAGCATTTTCTTCTGTTAATGGTATATGTAATAATGTCTCAGGTGACGTATTCTTATGGGGTTCCTAATACTGGCTTTATTTTTATTTTATTTTTTGAGACAACATCTCCCACTCAGGCTGAAATGCAGTTGGTGCAGTCATGGATCACCATTCACTGTAGGCAGGACCTCCCAGGCTGAAGAGATCCTCCCACTTCAGTCTCCACCTAGCTGGGAGTACAGGCACACGTGACCACATCCAGCTATTTTAAATTTTTTTTGTAGAGGCGGGGTCTTGCTTTGTGCTTAGGGTGGTCTTGAACCCCTGGGCTAAAGCAATCCTCCCGCCTCCGCCTCCCAAAGTGCTGAGATTACAGGAGTGAGCTACTGCTCCCGGTCAGCTTTTCTGCTAAAATGCTCTGCTGGGGTGGAAATGAAAGCAAAGCAGTGGGCGGGCATTTGTTTCAAAAAGGCTCTGCCTGGGCTGTTACTTCTGGTGAACTGGTTGTACTTTTTAGGTGGAAACTATGCCATTTTTCCTTTATTCTCCCCTCTGAAAGACCAGGAGGCAATTGGAGGATCCTCAAATACCAGGGAGAAACCCGCTAGCAGAAGATGTAGTATGGTGGAGGGGAAGATCAAGGCAAACGCCTTGGGAGTGGGTGAGAATTGCTACCTCATATTGGGTCTCCTGACCTGTGAAGACCCTTATCTGGGCTCCTCTGGACATGTCCTGTGTCCAGGTTCATCTAGAAAAGAATTGGTTGCATAGCATCTTCAGGATGCGGCTGGGAGATGATGAGTTCGAGTGGGAACGCTCCTGGTAGGATCAGTAGGTCTCTTGGGGAGATTACATCCGGATGTTTAGATTTTGGGGGAAATGTGAAAGCTTATGGGAAAAGGACGATTTTCTTCCAGGCAGTGGCAGTTCCTTATTTCCTATGAGGAAGGAGTTTATAGCCACAGTCTGACTGAAAAGTGTGAGAATTCAAGCGCTTGAAAATTCGCCTGCTTTGCATTTCCCGAAAGAGAGAAAACGTCAGGGATCCATTTCACAGATCAAGGGTATAGGAAAGTGGAGGCAGTTTGAGAGGTTCCCTGGGGTTGGAGAGGGAGCGGGCATCTGCCATCAATCCCTTCTCCTGTGCTGGAGTCTTGCAGTCCATTTTTCTCTCCGGTCGTCTTCTAACTCCTATCCCAAAATATGAAGGACATCTGACAAAGTTAATCATCGGAATCAAAGAGCGATTCCTTCAGAATTCCATCCCGCAGGAGAAGTACCGGGACAGCAGGTCTGTCGGCCCCTCTTGTAGGATCCTGAGGGTTCTGGAGGGGGAGGAGAGGCTGGGAGAGAGGGGTGGCCTGGAAGAGCCCAGTCACGGAGGTTGGAAGGGCTGTTTCCTGCGTAGGAAACTGTTGGCGACCAGAATGGTTTTTACTTTATTCCTGGGACCAGCTGGATCTGCTTGGTTCTCAGCACCTAAACCGACTCCTCTCCCCATGCGCAAGGCACTGGGTGGAATGCAAGAACAACGCAGACTTTCTGCCGGCCTCAGTGGCCCACGCCTGTGATTCCAGCACTTTGGGAGGCCCAGGAGGGCGAAACGCTTGAGCTCACGAGTTCAGGACAAGCTTGGGCCACATAGCGAGACCCCTGTCTACAAAAAATACAAAATGCAAAAAATGAGGGGGGGGAGGTGGTGCGCACCTGTGGTGTCAGCTACTTTAGAGGCTGAGGCCAGAGAATCGCTGGATCCCAGGAAGTCAAGGCTTTACTAAGCTTTGATGGTGCCACTGCACCAGCCTGGGCGACAGAAGGGGGAAAAAAAAGAAAGAAAAGAAAAAGACAACAGAGCCAGGCATGGTGGCTCGCGCCTGTAATCCCAGCACTTTGGGAGGCCTAGACGGCTGGATTAAAAAAAAAAAAAAAAGCAAACAAAAACAGACTTCCCTAAGCCACTGGGGGACAGAGTGGGTAGAGCGGGCAGCACTTTGGTGGAACCGAGCGCTCAGTTGGCCCATCGCTGCACCGCTCCTTTCCCAGCGCCGGCGGTTTCTAACGCCAATGCCACTCCTTTGTCAGCGTCAGCGGATGCTCTCCGGCGGCAATATTCTTGGCGCCAAAAGTTGTCTTAAAACAGCACAGGCATTTGCCAGGGACAGGTGATCGCTGGGTCCCAGCGCCGCTGGTTTCACAACTTAGCATTTTTCCCCCTTACCCCGCGCCCCACCCCCCGCCCACCCGCAGCAAAATCCGTGAACGGAACCTGCGGTTTCTCCGCTGCACCTTCGCCCGTTGCGTCCTGCGAAACCAGTGGATTCGGTGGGGTTACCTGGCGTTTCTTGGCACCCGCACCGCTCTGCGCTTTGTGCTGTCCCAGGCCAGTCTCGGCACCGTTAGTTGCTCCATAAAGGCGATTGTCCGTCGTGGGTAGGAAAGATCGTCCGTCTGCTATTGAAAGACAGTTTTTCAGAAGTTTCCAGTAGAGCCCAACTGGCGGCTTCTCGATCGCAGAACCACTGGTTCCGCGGAGTGGCAGCGCGTGTTTCTCTGTGGCATCCCCACGGGTGTCGTCGAAATCGCACTGTGTGTTTGTCTGGCATCACCGCGATGTGGATAACGTTCTTCAGTGGCTGCGCGGTTTCCTTCACCGAGTTGCTAGTTTTGATCCGCGCTTTCTTCCAGCGAGCGGACCAGACACCTTTCCGCTGGGCTGTGCACAGTTTCTTCGGCTCCGTGAGTTGCTTTCTCCATCCAAGGCCCTAGTGCCGGCGTCACGGTCGCAGCACCTGGCGTTCCTATTGGCCCTTTCGCCAGTGGAGCGGAGTCGGCGGTTTTTCTGTTACAGCACTTGTTGTACGGAGTTTCTTGGTGGCCGAACCTCTCTTTTTTTTCTCAGAGTCGACGGTTTCTTGGTAACAGCACCGTTGGTTGGGCCAAAACGATGTTGTCCTTGACAACCCCGCCGGCTGCCGTCAAGCACAGGCTCCCGGCACTGCCATTTCCCCGAGCCGAGGTCTCTTGTTTGCTGCTCGGTGACTCCATTTCTCTGTGGCTACAGCGCTCAGGTCGTGGATCTGAGAGATTCAAAGTCACAGCTTGCCCAGTTGCTGCGAGCCTGGAGTTCCCGGGCGGCCGCAGCGCCGGGCGTGGGGAGCCGGCAGCTCCTCAGAGTCGCTGACAGTGGCGCTGCGCGGGCGCGGTCCCATCCCAGCGCAGCCAGCAGTGCCGCACTGGCTCTGGCTCGGCCTCCAGAACCCAGTCCTGTGGCGGCGCCGCTGGCTTCTCTGTAGGAGGACTGTGGGGTTTCGCGCGTCGTTGGCTTCTTGGGCTTAGCACGTTTCGATTTCGTAGTGCCTGAGATTCCTACTCCTTGTCCAAGTGGGGGAATAACCACAATGTGATTTCTCAGCCCAAGAAAGTCCCGACTTAGGACAAACACCGGTCTAACCCAGGCTGCGATTTCTAGGTCGCAGAAAGACACTGTTTCGCCATAGCAAGGCGAAGTTATCCTGTGACTCATTTTTCAGCAGCTCCGGGTTTCCTGTAGCCTCGGATTTCTAATTATAACAACCATGGGGTCAGCCCAGCCTCAAGTTTCTTAGTCCTAGCAAGTTCTGGTTTCCTGCTAGTAAGCCCTGCTTTAGCTGCGCAAGAGATGTTTAACTCCTGTACAAATGGGGATACCAGCGAATGCGTGTTTTTGTTTTTGTTTTGTTTTGTTTTGTTTTAGGTTTACTGATGACCAGTTTAGCAGTGTTGGGAGCTCTTATACCAAGTTTGGTTTTGCAATATCGAGTCCCGTTTTAGCTATGCTTTTGTGTTTTTTAAACTCCCGTGGAAGTCAGGAAATGCCGGCGAACGCAATTTCTGTTTTACCAAGCTCCCTTTGACAATAGCAAGTCCAGCTGAACGTGACTTTTTCCTCTGGTGGACCAAATCGGGATATACCAGCTACTACGATTTTTTAGTTGGAGCTTAACACATTTAACCGTGACTATTTTTGTTTGTTTGTCGTAGGAAATTTAGACAGGTGCAAACTGTAGGGGTATTACATCTGACAGGGATATCCTAATCATAGGATTGCATCGTTTAGCAATATTTGTAATTTCTTCTTTGTAGGGTTGGTTCCCTGTAAGTTTTGCTTATTTTAAAATTATTTTTGTGTATTTTATTCTTAGAACGATGTTACCGATGTTTGTTTTCATTTTTTACTTGCATTTCAGACTTTTATTATTTTAAAGTTTAATTTTTAATTTTTATTTATTTATTTTTTTGAGACAGAGTCTCGCGCTGTCGCCCAGGCTGGAGTGCAATGGCGTCATTTTGGCTTACTGCAACCTCCGCCTCCTGGGTTGAAGCAATTCTCTTGCCTCAGCCTCCCGAGTAGTTGGGACTACAGGTGTGCGCCACCACGCCTGGCTAATTTTTTTGTATTTTTAGTAAAGACAGGGTTTCACCATGTTAGCCAGCCTGGTCTCGAACTCCTTACCTTAGGCAATCCGCCCTCCTTGGCCTCCCAAAGTGCTAGGATTACAGGCGTGAGCCACCGCGCCCAGCCTGTAATGTATGTTTTTCCTGCTAATTTTGAGTGTCTCAGCCTCTTGCTCCTTGACTTTTGTTCTCTCAGGGGCCGGGGAGCCCAGCTCGGTCTTAGCCTCGCTGGTGTCAGGTCCCGGGTTCTGTCTGGTGGCTCTGCTTCCTATGCGGAGCTGACAGTTTAATATCAGCACGTTTGCCAGCAGTGCCCACTAGGCGTTTGCTCAGTTGCTGCTCCCAACGTGACGTTTCCTGCTCGCGGGGTCCTTATGTTTTCAGTGCTGTCACTTTCTCGGTCCTAGAACCGCTAGTATCTCCTAGGAACTTCCTGAACTCCGTTTTGCGGTGAAGAACAGTGATTGCACCGAGCTGCTGTATGCACTAGTAATTCCGTGGTACCGTTAGCCGGCGCTTTTTCTGTCGCAACACATTAAAACGAGTTAAAAGACCTTAAACTGATTAAACACATTAAACTGCTACAACACATTTTTCTGTCACAACATATTTAAACAGAGTGGGTTAATTCCTCCAAACACCGCTTCTTTCTTAGAGCACGCTGTTTCTCTCTAGCAGCACCACTTTTGGGGCCTAAACAGATGTTTGGCAATACCGGCGCTATCCGCTAGGTGCAGGCGCTTGCTAAGTTCAACGCGCCAGTTTCTCATTAGCAAGGTCGTTGGCAGTGCAGAGCCCTACGGACAGTTTTCCGGGGCTCATTTCCGGAAAGAGATAGTTCTTGGCCCTTGAAGGCTGTTTTATACCTGCGTTCCGCAGTGATCGTTCTCTGCAAGGTTTGCTTAGTGTTCGTTTCATTTCGGTTTCTTTTCTCGCTGTTTTTCTGTCGGAATTACGGTTTGTTTTGGTTCTATGTACTCTCTAAAATTTTATTGTTTTTCATATGTCTACTAATTTTCGTGCATTTGTTACTATTGAGTTTCTTAATATCTGGCTGGCCTCCGCCCACGGGCTCTGGAGAGCATAAATACCTAGAGTGATGGTAGTGCACAATGCACTCCTTGATCAGCGCAAACATTTGTTTCCTCCTGGTCTGAGGCTTAAGCGATGGAGCAACATTTTCTTGGCTTTATGAAGCCTGTTTCGGATTCCGCAGAGGTGGTGCCAGAGCCCCAGCCTCCGCCTATTGTGAGTTCAGAAGATTGTGGGCCGTGGTCTCTTCCTTTGTATCCAGTACTACGAGAGTACTCATTGGACAGCTGTGATTTGGGACTGCTTTCTGGTCCTTGCTGGCGGCTACCTGGAGTCTATCCGCAAAACGGACTCTTTCCTGGAGTCCAGGGCACCTTAGAACCAAGTACAGCCCAGCCCGGTGAGTTCAGTTGGCCCGGGACACAGAAGCAGCAAGAGGCACCTGTAGAAGAGGTGGAACCGGCAGAGGAACCCGAGAGACTCATGCTCCAGCAGCTTCCCTTGTGCAGTCCTCCCCACCCCTGGGACAGACAGCAGGACTCCGAGGTCTCTGACAGCTGGCACCTTTTGGAATGCCACCATCCTCCTGTCCTGAATTGGTGGCGCCACCTCCCGAGTTTCTCAGGCTGCCTGGAGTGGATTTGTCGCCTTGGTTGTGCCGGGTTCTCTGTACTCTGGGCGTGCTGCCCACAGATCTGTGGAGCTAAGCAGCCTTAGATAGCAGCAGAAGACTTTTGGGATTCTCCTCCATAAAAAGATTCTCCATTACCAAACGTCTCCACCTAGAAAATAAAAATGCATTAAGATGTGCCTTCATTGCTGGTTGTCAATTTTTAAAATATCTTTTGCTGATGAATCTCCCTTGTTTCGGGTCGCTTATTACTTGCAGTTTCCATATATTTTAAACATTTGTATTTATTTTATTATATATTTCATTTTTATCTGTTTCAACTTTGAGAAATCTATTTTATGATTGTAGAATTCTTAGAGTTTTGGCAAATTTAAAATTTGTTTTTTCCATTTTATTTTCAAATCTTACTCCTACTTTTTTCTAATTACTGCTTTCTAAATGTATTTTTTTATTTAATTGTATTTCACATATTTTACGTTATGTCTTTTTAATTTCAATTGTTAATTTTATTTTTGTTTTAACGGCTGTCT